TCCAATAACAGGATAAATCTGTCAATGTGAAGTCCACAGGACTGTACATAGAGGACAAATAGTACAGAGTTTTCTTAGCCCCCATTGTGGCACATCCTTTTTCCAAGTTTGCATGGATGAACACATCCATCACTTTGCAAAAGAAGTTCCTGAACTGCTCTCAGAAACTCTTTTCCTCAGCAACAAAATGTACCCATCTGTCTCCTCCGCTGTGCGCCTCAGGGTCTGGGCACAAGCTTGTTATTCCAGAGCAGGAGCTGGGAAACTGCCATGGGGTTATTGCCATGGTATAAAAGCTCTAGGAGCAAAAAACTGGTATAATCTTCTAAATGTGTAATTTTATTTTACAGGCACCCATCTGCAGTGGTGTGGGTTATGGGCTGGTTTTCTGTCTCATTTCATGCAAGATGTCAAATTTTGCTTGTGAATCATGCATTCCTCTTTCAGGGATTTATTGTAGTCTTTGCTGTCCCTGGATGTGTTTGTGGAAAGCTAGACTGGTGAATGAGCCCTGTGATTATAAAGCAAAATGAGTTAAGCAAGAGTCAGTAAACTTCTTTGCTCTCGAGAGCAGCAGGAGGCCCAACAACTTCTTTCAGTTGAAGCTGGCACTGACATCAGGCAAATCCATTCTGTGAACAAACAGCAAATCAGTGAAGCATAAGAAGACAGAAGCATCCAAAACCACTGAGGACAACAGGACTGGGAGGCCAGCATTTCCTTGAATCTGACCTGCAGAACCCTGAGATCCTCAATTGCATGGCAGTAATTAATAATTATTTTTGCTTGTCCAATGTTGTAAACTGCTTAAAAAATGCTAACATCTTGGGGAATAGCAAAAGCTGAAGATTTGTTTCTTGTAAATAAAGTATACAGAATGTTTTGCCATTAGTTACTGTCTGTTTACAGACAGAGTGAAATATTCATCATTAAAAGCCAGAAAATATTGGAAGATGTCTCAAAAATTATTGTTAAAAACTCCCAATGTGTTCTGTGGCATGTATTTTAGCAGAATTATTTTAATGAGAAAAGATGTTGCGTCTTTAAAATGAAACATTCCTTGATCAATATTCCACAATGATCCTGTCAGAATTAAAAAAAAAAATCATTTTCTGGTAGGAGGAGAGTTCAGAGAGCTTTCCTGCAGAACCCAAAACCATCCTGACCTGGTTTTGCTGGCAGGTAGTGCTCTACCTATGGCACATTGTCAGCTTTAGATTAGATAGTTTAGACAGAGCTGGAGTAGCTTCGGGACAAATTGTTTTGCTTTCTTGTGCTTCAGTGTCTGTAACTATAAGCCAGGGATAATAAGGATGAGCTCTTCTGGAGCTTCTTGAACCCTCTGACCGAAAGGCTAAAGATGGGTTTTCACTATTCCTATTAATACTCTTCTGTGATTGTGATATAAAGGCAAGAATTTTCCCTACGCAGTGCAGGTCAAGTGTGTTTGAGGCTGTCTTCAGTTCTCGTTCACTCAGTGGCTCTATGAGCCTGGGCTCGTGCTCTCAGCCTTAGCTTTTCATTAGTGCTTCTTTTGATGTAAGCCTGAGAGGGCAGTGACCAGCTTGCTTCAAGCTGGAGATGCAATTCCCTCAGTGTAGCATCTCTTACAGCCTGCCAGCTCTAACCTTGCAGTTCTTTAAAACGGCAGATAACCAGTGGCTGGGACAAAATGACAGGAGCTTCATCTCTGCTTTGCTTTCCTCTGCTCCAGTGCTGGCTTTGGGAGCCAGCTCTGGGGATACAAACGATGTACAAAGTGACTGCCAGCTGTACCAACTGTGCCCCCAGCAGCACAGAGAGAAATTCTACCCTGGGTTTTAGTGCCGAGGAGTCATGGGAAGTACATTGCAGAGAACAGCTCCCACGAGGGCCTGACTCACTGACAGTACCAACCCAGCAGGACCAGAGCATCCTCACCAGCAGGCTGAGCATTGGAAAATGCCAGTGCAGTCAGCAAGATGTAACCAGATGGGTTGGGCCCAATATGTGATAATGGGAAATGAAGGGAAAAGAAATTACTAAATATAGCTTATTTACAAAGTGAAGTACAGAAGATGAACATTCCTATGCAAAATGCATATTTGCATGTATATATAGAATTAGTAGATGTACAGTTTATATATATATATAACAGTTTATATATATATATATAAATGTATATTTGTATATGTGTACATTTACTCAGTATAGCTATATTTTAGTAACATCAATACTAAAATCATTATTGCATTAGAAAAGTTCCCACAGAAGCACTGCACTTCTCTAGCTGCTGTGAGACAGAAATGGTTGATCTCTTGCTGGGTTTATGCAGCCTAAATATAGCTCAAAAGATGTTTCTGACACACTTGTCTCTCTTTTTGGTTGTCAAGTGTACTCTGAGTAAGAGTACTCTGGAGAAAGGGGTTTCTGCGCTCTCAACATACAGTCCTATTTCCTGTGAAGGAAATGGGAAAGCAGCCTTGAAGAATGTGAGTCATCAGATCTGTCAAGCTGAAACCACTAGGCAGAGGCAAGGCAGATGGAGATGTAAATGCAATCCAGGCTGAACAGACATTTAAAAACTGCAGCATTGTCTCATCTTTCTCCTCTTTGGTCATTCAGTTTAAGTGCCCCCCTTTGGTGGACAAGACACTAAAATTTTCCTTTCAGTTCAGCAGAGCAGTGTTTGCTATGTGCCTGCATCAATTATCTAGCCCTCCATCAGCCAAGATACACTTGCTGTCTGCCAGTTTGGTCAGTGAAACACCACGTGTGGGCCACCACCTGCCCTCAGCAAGCAGGTGCTGTGCCAACACTCCGAGCTGGGTGCCTGACATCAGCAGCTTGTGAAAGGATTGGTGCCAACCTGCTGGAACACAACATGCAGAGATGAGTAAAGGGGGTGTTCTCTGAGTTTAGCTTATCCCAGGGATGAAGAAAAGTATATGGCTTCCTTTCTTTCTTTGAGTAGGTCCAGTCAAGTCTGATATTGATTTCTACAAGGGCAGCAACAGATGCTAAATCAATAGGAACCAGCAGTATCACAGAGTAGTATCACTTTGTCCACACAGACTTGCTTCCTGCTCTTGAATGAAATGGCAACATGTGAACCTTTGTGGGCAACTCTTCCTAGGAAACACCACCCTCATTAGATGAGTAAGGGTACATGCCTGAGAATCTGGCTCTGTGTTTTCTGCACAATGAAATTCTCTCCAATTATTGAATTTTGCTGCTCTCAAAACACTTCACAAAGTTCAGATCCTTAGTTTTGAGAAAATCTGCTTTGCCTGACACTGGTACTTCCATATATTGGTGTATCACTCCAGACCCATACTGGCCTGTGTAACTGTACCATGTGGAGAGTGAATGGGCAGCCTCAAGGATTCCCCCACATGCCTGTGAAACTGTCAGCTGAGCCACTGCAGCCAGCAAGAAATTCACCACACTGCCTACTGACAACTGAAAGTACAGTGGCACAAGGAAGTCACATCACTTTAAAACTGGCCTCAGGGTCCTGTTCTTTCACCTTGCTTTTAGTAACAAGTCTTATGGCAATTTTCTGTTTTCTGGGGTTTTTAAAAAATTTTTTTTAAACCTAATTATTTATTGGTGTCTAACAAGTTCTGAATGATAATGGTTTTAATTAATCTAAAAAAATTGCAGTGGGGCATTTGCCTCATCTCCAGAATCTATGTGCCATTGCTTTCAGGTGACTCTGAGTGACTGGCAGTCACCCATCAGGCCGGGCACTGACCTTGCCTGCAATCCTGTCACAGGTGATGCTGCACTCTTGTACCTTGAGAGGAATGAGACCCAGGTTATGCAAGTGCAGATTTGTTACTTGGAGTCACACAGTGCCTTTTCCCAGGGCTGGAAGGACACAAGCCAGCAGGAGCCATTGCAGTCCCATCTCCCAGCAGCCAGGACCGAGCTCCATGTCCCCCATCAGCTCCGTGCTGCACTGCTCTGAGACCTGGGGGTGTTACAGCCAGGCCCTCCAGCTGTCCCCAACCCTCTGTCCTGTTGGCAGTAGCTGCCCTGTGCCTTGCTGCCATTATGGTATTGAGCTGTTCAGGCCAAAGAGGCCATGCAGCTGGGCACAACTGAGGTAAGGTAAGGAGGAATGGTGGCTTTCCATTATGTAAATTACAGGTCCTGCATACTGCTTATCATAAAATCCCCATTGTATGTAATGATGTGTGATGGGCTGAACTTTGCTTGGATGGGCAGGTTGAGCTCAGCTATTGTTTCCCTCATAACGCGGGACTGATGTCTTAAACAAAGCACTTTTATGCCAGATTAGGTAAAAGGCTGTTAAGAAGCCTGTCCTGCAGAGATGAGGTAATGCTTTTCATCATACCAATTTCCTGTCCCCCAAGAAGGCTGACAGCACAGAACTCCCTCCCAGGGCAGGTGTTGGGCACTCACAGAAAGGCCTGAAGCTATTCCTCCCTAAGGAGGCACAGCTGGCACAGTTAGAAACAGGGCCAGAGAAGCAATCATGTCACTGGAAGGGGCCACAAACCATCAAAAGACCCTCAAAGAAAACCCCTCCCAGGGGGAAGTACTGGGGGATTAAGCCTGAATGTATATAAGCTGTCAAACTCTTTGCTGTGTGGGTGCTGGCCCCAACAGAACAAGGCTGCCATGCTGACTCCAACCATGGACATCAAAATTGCAACAATCAAGTCTTTTTGCAGATCCACGGGTGGTGGCATCTTTCCTCCCCATTATCTACTCTTGTCCTTTCCTTCTCTTTCTTTCTTCTCCTAATATCTTTTCTTTGTCATCTTTTTATAATTGCATAGAGAAGAAACAAAGTGGCTACATACCTCCTTTCCAATGCAACCAATTTGTTTTAAAATAAACTTGCCTCAAAAATGTACACTGGTAATTCAGTGTCATTTTACTCTAATCCGCCCCAAGGGATCTATTGACAAGAACTTCAGTTACCCTGCTTTAGAGGTTGTTTGTATCACTAAGCTAGGAAGTAGTACACATTAAAATATTCAGAATAATAGGCATTTATTTTCAGTACTATTTTCATTAAATATTGGTATAATATATCCATGTCTGAGGTAATAAATTAAAAATAAACTCAAGATTTCAGTCCCATATTTGTGCTGCATATTTTTTTTCTACCATTATACATCATTTTGAAGCAAACACACACAGTCTGTAATTCTGAATGCAGCTAGGAATATTGTTTTGCACAGTCACTTTTTGTTTCACTATAATTTTGCTGAGAATGGTTATTGCATGATACACTTTTAATAGACGTTTTAGTTATTATACTAGAGTTTTCTATTAGATCACACATATCGTAATTATAGGAAGATGGGCATGAAGATGTGCTTTGAGCCAAGGATGGCAAATACTGAATCAGTGATAGCACATACTGCAGCATTATTGTCTGCCTTCACTAGAGCCCAGATCCAGCAAAGCCATTTCAGTGTGTGCTTAGTTTTAGACATGAGTCATTTCAGTGTCATCCATGGCCTTAATTTTTGCTGAATCAAGGACTAGCCAAATCTGTAGAACTGAATTAATAGACTTCTTTAACTGTGTGTTAAAACTGTTTGAAAACAGGTTTGCTGGTTTCACATTTTGTAAGATATTTTGTAATGACCTCTGTAAGTTTGTTCATATCAGTGAAGCACCCATGAAAGTTTCTAACCTGGTTCATAAATACACTATGAAAAAATAAGCAGCTACAATGACTCTCTTCTACACATTTTGTTAAAAGTAACACCTGGTTTGAAAAGTTATTAAAGTAATTTTTTTCCATGGTAAAATATATTTAAAAAAATAAACTCTTAATTTAATCATCTTCCATCAAACATATAAGCATGTTAAAGGGCGGGGCATAATTCAGGTATTTTCATTTATAAATGCAAGAGATTGAGTGTGTCAATCTTTTGCACTTAAATGCTGGTGGTAGTAAGGCCCTTTCAGCTAAGTCTTCATCAAGCCCAACATCAGTGAGCTAAATAAACAAACAAACACAAATTTTGCTTGCATATAACTTTTTCATAATCCTGAATTAAAAACAAAAAAATCCTCCCTGCTTAGAAAAGAACTCTTATTTAACTTCTGCCATTAAAAAGTATACCTCACTTCCATGTTAAGTTTAATCAGTGATTCTGAATGCAAAGGATTTAAACACTCACTAAAATTGCTGTGGCATGCCATTAGACTCTTAATGTTCATAAATTGTGCTAATTCCCATTTAAATCAGGAAGCTATAGTTTAGAGTTAGAGCTAATGGTTGTCTTAGTGTTAAAGGTCTATTTCCACCAGATTTTCTTCATCCTATTTTGCAAATGACTGACAGTGCCTATGACGTGATCCTGAAGAACCGTTTGGTGTTATTACCAGAAGCTATAGTCCGTGAGAAAACTCTCCATGCTCATGCAGTGAGTTGCATTGCTGGGGGACCACGGCCAGCGCTGCCGTGCTGCAGGGCCCGGCCCGGCCCTCAGTACTCCACCGAGCTCACCATGGCCATGGGCTCGTCAAACGTCGCCAGCCTGATCTGCTTCGGGGTGGGGATGGAGAGCATCTCCCCGGGGTCGCTCGGCGAGTGAATCCCATTGTCCATCATGTTGGACACCTCCTCCTCATGGTCCTCGTACAGCGTGTTGATGTGCAGCAAAGGGTGGGCCGGGTTGCAGCTCAGTGCGGGTGTGGGCTCTGCCTTGACCTGGTTCAAAGCCATACTGGTGGCAGCAGCAGTGGTGGCTATATGGTTGTGGTTACACGTGACAAAAGCCGCAGCGGCAGGCACAGTTCTGCATGTCTCGGATGAGTACAGGATCTCTTTTGCAGGATGAGGGGTGTCTACAAGAGAACAAAACAGACAGATAAAGGACAGGTAGTCTCTCACCATTCCAGTCCATCAGCGAGGAGCGTCCTGAGCCAATAAAAGTCATTGGCAGTCTCGCCACTGATTTCAGTGGGATCAGAAGAGGATCCCAAACGGAATATTCTTGGGACCCTTTGAGAAATCCAAAGAGGACTGTTTGAAAACAACAGGGTTGTAAGCTCAGGGAAACAGGACAAACAAGAAGTGGGGTTTCTAAATCTCACTCTTTTTTATGCATGCTCATGCTTCCTTATGTGAATGGTATTTTTGTAAAATGAAGGAAAAAAAAACTCAACAACTGAAAAGTATATTTATCCCCCTCCTAGTCTGGCCAGTGTTTTTTAAACAGTATGATTTAATGTTTTGCCAAATGCAATGAGTATTGAAATCCACAGGATGGAATACAAAAGGCATTGATATTTTCAATGGGAAAAAACAGTGGTTACACATTGTAAGCCACTTGTCTTTAGAAAGAACTCAGCAATTCTTCATAAACTGAAGTCTCTTTCCAGAATTTATAAGTCTGCCTTACCTGATGGACTGCAATGTAGGTCTAACTCAAAAACAAAGTTGAAAATTTTTAATGTGAATAGGGAGTCACAGAGCCCCAAAACTCCAGTAATTATTTTTTGCCCTTAAAATATTCAAGCACTAATTTAGATTAAGGTAATTGAACCAGAAAACCCCAGCAGTTTTGAGGAGTTGAAATCAGAGCAGGTGACTGGATAAAGAATGCTGTAGAACAGCTCACATGCATATTGGGGAGTTGCAGGACTCTAAGGAGCATAGGGATTTGGAAGTGACAGAAACTTTTATACCTCAAATCACTTCTTTGCTGGGCAGTGGGGTGACGGTAGAGGTCAGTCTGTCGAAGCCCAGAGGGAGGTCTTAGCTTGTAATGAGATGAGAGCCATTGCTTTAAGTACGTACAGATTTTTCTGTAACTTCAACTGCATAGTGCTTCTTTCTTATGTCAGTAGCTTACAAAAATAAACAAGAAGATATCTGTCTATCAGTTTATTTACTGATCTATCACTTTTTGTAATGTTCAAATGGCTTTCCTCATCATCCTAGCTCATAGCAACTACTGATATATTTGAAACACTCCCTTGAGTTAAGAAAGGGACAGGCTTTACAAGACCACCAGGGAACTGAGGCACAGAAAGAGCATCTCCTGTGAGGCCACATGGGAAGGGAATGGCAGAAATTCTGAATCCCTGACCAGCACCAACACTTCAGAGCATCCATCCTCTGGTCCACATAAGACACAGGGCAGTTTAAAGTGTGTGTGAAGAACAATGTCAACAAGCTGAGTTTTGATTTTCTAAGTGACAAACATATGACAACCCCTGAGAGTTGGTAGTCTAAGAGATCTTTTTTCCACAGGCAGCTTTAACTACCATTAGTAGTCGCCCACACGCCCCTAAGGGGCTATTACTGCTCAGGTCATGTACCATGGCAGTTTCCATACCACTTGAAAATAAGGCAGGTTTGAAACGTGCCAGGTGCTGGTGGAGCAGGAAGGGTATCATGGAAGCCAAACGCTCCTCATTTCCTTGGCAAGGCATGATCACATTTGTAGTTGTGAAAACCTGCTTACATTTGAAACATGACCCACACCAACAGCCTGCAGCCTGTTTTGTACAGCTCTACCTGTAATAATCCTTACCCTCCATACAGTTGTTAAAGAGAGAGAACCTGTATTTCTGAGACCTGCAAATCTTGAGATTACTAGCTATCTCCAAATCTAGCAAGGTAGGTCTAACAGTTTCAATAAACTCTGAGTTCCTTAAGATTGCTATGTAAATTATGGCCTGTGGAGGTGGTATGGGCATTATGGCATACTGTACCTTTGAGAGAGGAGGTAACATGCACTACAACATTCTCTTCCTGATTTATAAATCCACCCTCTTGGCTTTTTGACGTAGGCATCGAGGGGATGGCTTGAACCTCTGGCTTGGGTTTTTTGCTACTGAGTATATATGGATGAACATCCAAGGAAAAGTGCCGTGTGTGCTTTTTTTCACTGCTTGTGCTTGGGATGGCGTTTGGCTCGCTCTTGTGAGCGGACGATTGCTGTGAGGTTTTTGCAGCAGACTCCAGCAAAGGAGCTATAAGGCTGTCTGTCGCTGTTTTTCTCCGCACAGGCTTCGGTTTGTCAGGCTTGTGGTTCTCAACCTTCATAATGGCTAACTGCTCCTTGAATGGCTGCGGAAGGGGATTGGTAGTCGGGATCCATTTCATCTTCTTCCTCGGCCTCTTAATGATGAGCTGTTCATTAGCATCAATGTCTGCTGGATCAACGCTGGGGTCTATGGTCTGAATCCCTGAATCACGCATGGTCGGAGTGGCATCGTGGTTGGACTGGGCCAGTGCCGCGAGCAGCTGGCGCACCACGTTGTCGTACATCAGATCGCTTTCATTTGTAATAAAATCCAGACGGTTCAGTGATTTTATGTGGTCCCTATTTTCATTACAAAACATGGCCAAAATATTAATATCACAAAACTGGGACTTCTGCCACTGTTTCTTGGTCTTTATTCCTACTTTGTTCAGTTTATCAAATATGAAGTTAGACTTGCGAAATATGAAGAGGTGAATCAAGTTGATGAGGATTATCAAGTTCATGAAGCAGAGGAGAACGATATCTACACCAGCAATAATCCGCTGGAGCTGGACAGAAGGCAGTTTACAGTTCACTCTGATGTGCAATTTGGAGCTGCTTGTTTTGTCTGGAGGCTCACCTAGTGCACATGTAAATTCATTTTGCTTCTGTGTAGCATAGTAGGTGGACAAATATGTGATTGGTATGATGCTTAAAAAGATGATGAACAGATGTCTTGCAAGATAAAGCTTAGCTAAAAAGTTACTTCGTCCTCTTCTTTCCAGATATTTCTCAAACAAATTCTGCTCAGGGCTTTTCTCCTTCTCTGCATTCTCAATGATTTCTCTTTTCTCTCTCTCTGTTATCCCTGGGCCTTTGGACTGAATCTGTTTCTCTATTTTTGGTGCCCGCCCTTCAGCTGCACGGTGGTAGCAGTTATCGATCTCCTGAAGCAAAAAATTAAGCTCTGAAGTCAGTCGAGTGGAGGCCAGAAATTCCCAGCCCAGAGCTGGAATGTACATTATCCCAGCAAAAGCCAGCAGTGCATAAGGTAGGAACTTATGCTCAAACAAGGAGGGCCAGTGGCTGGCATCAACTCCTGGCAAGGCATCTTTTAATTCTGTCCAACAATATCCTCTGGCATACAAGGCTTGATCGCGGGTGAAGTTGTGTGGTGTGTAACAGTATATTGGCTCCTCTGTATAACAGAGAGAAAAGTCACTGCTGTGCATTTAACCTACAAAAGGGGCTCTGGAAAATAAACATTTCAAATTATATCAATTTTATTTTACTGTATCTTCACATGACCATTAAGCCCTCCACATCTTAGCCAGCTCAGTCTGCACACACATCCTCACAAACCCTACAGCAAAACTATTTACCTAAAGGTTTTAGAATGAGCCTGAGTTAGAAATGTCAGCAAGAAATACATATTTTGGTTTAATGACCTCTCTGAAAACAACATCCTAAGCAACTGTGATGTGAACTCTGTAAAGCTAAAAGACCTAATATTCACTACAAAGCCAGCAGCTGAGGATGTTCCATGCTAATGCTGAAAATGGGTTGAAATTTAAGGTACATCCCAGCTAAGTATTCTTCCATATAGAAAAAAGTTAGACATAGCTTAAGACAATGCTTTTAATAATTATTAACAAAGTCAACTCATTTGATATGATAGGAAAAAATGAAACTTGAGACATACAAGGATTTAGTCAACTGTATCCCTCTCAGCAAATATTCTTGAATAAAAGTGTGACTGATCAGGATAGAATCTGGTGTGTTAACTATTTATTCTACATTTGTAATTGTAACTTTGGGATTTTTACACAATGTGTAATTAAATGCAAATTGCCCTCAGACAGTATTATGGAAAAACAAATACTGTGGATCAAGAAAAAAGTCAGACAAAGTAATAGGAGAGAAAGTATAGCAAGTATTATTAAATTCACAGTGATGCAATTTTTCTCTCAGGACAGTCATATTCTGCTGGAGGACAGAAGGGTTTGTCAAAGGAAATTACCACATACTTGTCTATTTTAACACTCCTTCTAAACATTCGTATTTTACCATCATCATCAGAATGTTGAGATAAAGGTCCTAACCCAGTAGATAAATTATACATGATCCTTTTTTTCCCTAGCAATACATGAGAGAGAAAAACTTGTGAAAGCTAAAGCAGCATCAATTCCCCAAAGAACAATGGCCATTATGAAGACATCTTATTCAAAGAGGAAGACCATGTCTTCATGTTTGACAGGTAGAACAAAGAGAATATATTTTACAGTGTTCTGCTACACCTTTAAAAAACTTCCCAGAATGACAGCCATAGGAGCAGGCATGCTCTCTTGACTCGAGAATCGCTCAAGAACATCAAGCCTGCTCTGGCTCTGAATGTAGTCTACAATTCAGATCAAGAACAGCTCCCTGGAAAAGCACGGTGGCACTGTTCTCTTTATGATAAAAATGAAAACAGAAAATATCATATTGATAACAATAAATAGAATATTAAAAATTAATAGACAGGCAACTCCCCGTGATCTTTCTGGCTTAAAAAATTACTCCTTACTTGACCAGTTACTTTTCACATGTGAGCAAAGCAGAAGTTAGTTCTTTGGAGAGGAGGTATAAACCTCTTCTGTGACCTAGAGAGAATTAATACTACCAACTTAAACAGAGTTGACAGAGTAAACGCTGCTACTCAAGACAGCATGGAAAGTGAGTACCCCCTGCAAATATTTTAATATAATTTTTGAAGACTATTTTAAAATTAACTAACTTCAGTCTCAGAGAATAGTTTAAAGCACTTCCATTTAGACTATTTTTATGTACTTGCAGATATATGTAATAAGAAAATTGCTCATTGACTCCCCTGATTTCGTAATTACACAGCCTCCCAAACCTACCCATGAAGGGATGCATACAAAAAGCTTAATCTCCAACTATCAAAGAGTTATTGTAGAATTCCCTAGGAGGCCAAGCAGAATCCTGTACAAATATGTTCCCATGGGGTAAAAAAAGGCAAAGCAGAATGCTATGTTTCTCATAAGCAGAATTTTTTTTAAATTTGGTATCCCTAAGCCCAGTAGAACTTTCCATTATGAAACCAAGTTTTCTGTGGCAGACATGAGTTCATTTCTTCTAGGTCTCAACATCACAAATACTTGGGAAAACAGCAGCAAGTATTCCCACAAATCAGCCATAAGGATTATTTTTTGATTCCTGCATCAGTTACTACTATCCAATAAACTGATTACTTCTTTCTGTTGTCTTCACTGAGACACAAAAGCTAGAGTGACTACAACAACAATCAAATATATTTTTCCTTTATAAATTAAAAAAAATAAATATTTTACATTTGCATTTACATTGAGCAGATCACTGATAGACTAACCGCACTCCATCCATTGCCACTGCTGTGGTGAAAAAAGTCTAAAGAGCTTCAGAAGTCCAGCTTGGACTGACCAGCTGCATTACAGGCTACAAAATGAGGCTGTCCCAAACAGTGGAAAAAGCAAACATCACTTGAGAGGAATTTGTTTTCTTTTCCTCTGTTAAACTTGTTTTTATCTGACCCAATTTTCTGTGAGGTTGTAAAAGATCTCTAATTTATCTGGCCAGCTGAGCATGGTGTCCCACTCTTACTCAATGTTTTGTACCTGGTTGCCACTAGTCTAGTATTTTCTTTGCATATTTGCAAAATTGGCATGATTTTCATTGTATAATATGTAAATCCCAAGACCCTTCAGACAAAAACAAATCCTCTGTGGAGCCAATGGGACTTCTGATAACTGATTGAAGTGAGAGCAGTGGGGTTCCAACACTATTTTATTCAAATAGTATTTTCTAATATAGAATCATAGAATCACAGACTGGTTTGGATTGGAAGGGATCTTAGAGATCATCTAGTCCCATCCCCCCTGCCATGGGCAGGGACAACTTCCATTAGACCAGGCTACTCAAAACCCCATCCAGCCTTGCCTTGAGCACTTCCAGGGATGGGACTGCCACAACCTCTCTTAGCATTATCTTTGAGCTATATTTACTGTCAGAGAATGCCATAAATTTTGGTGAAGTTATTCCACAGGGATATTTAGCTTAACCCTCTCATCACAGGACTTGACTAACAAAGCATTGCATCAAACCTGGAAGCTCCTTCCCCTAGAAAATGGTCCAGACAACTGAGAAGAGAGGAATTCCCTTCTGAAGTGACTCAAAGCAAAAGACTCATTTAGCTGTTGCCTGGACAAAGAACTTGTCTCTCTGCACTGACAAGAGGCTACCAAGCAGGATCCGCACCAGGTTTTGAGTTAGCTTTTGTAAATGTTACTTCTTAGACAGTGGCAGCATTCAACCTGGCATTTAACAAACACCCTGAAAGTGTTTGATCCAGGTATAGTAGGGTATGAGATTGCTTCTTCTCTACTGCAGCCTGTGTCCATCATTAATTAAGGAAAAAGAAAAGCACCATATCAATAATCTTGTTATGAAAGTTGGCAGTGATGTATAGCTGGACATTAACATACAGATCTGATGAGGATACCAGAGGAACAAGTTGTTCTCACACATAACTCACTTAGCTTGAGGCTTCTGCTTAATGCAGTTTCAAGAAGACACAGCAGATTTTTCTATTTGTTTGTTTTACAATGTTCTCCTGATAGGTAAGAAGCATTAAAAAAAGGTTGCAATGGTGTTAAAATCATAGCTCTGATGTTGGATCATGCAATATACAAAATGCATTTGCTTTCAACTTTATATTCATAAATATAGAAAGTTTCTACTGATACTCTTCTTTCATCCTGAAAATTCTTACACAGTTTGTGAAGGTCCTTTTTCATATAGCCATTCCAGCCACCATGGAACAGGTTTTTCTTGAGACGCCACAATTTAACTGCGTATGTCAATGAAGTAAAGTGTTGTAAAGAAAATTTTTTAAAGCTTGAGGAGCATTAATATGGCGTGGATTGGTCATCCTCTCAATGTTATCTAATCTAAAGCCCATAAAAATAATCTGTCTCTCTGCTCCTTGAAAGATGTATTCCTAGTAATTACTACATTGAAAAAAAAAAAAAAAAGGCTTTGATGGTGATATGTGATAGTTTTTTTATATTAACTTAAGCCTAAACTTAAGTGCATGCTAACAAACTTCATTTCCCTTTTTTCAATATGTCAGATGTTTTCAACAATTGTACATAAATGCATTTTATCCTGCTCACTATGCACCTAAGTAGCTTCTAGAAATCCACAGAACTGTCCTGTAGGATAAGGTATGAGAGAGATCTGACTGCATTTTTCAGATATGCAATCAAGATGAAATAAACAACACAGAATTACTTAGTTGCATAATATAACTGATTGTGTTATGCCACTTGAGAAATTAAAATCCCTTGGCAGAGAAGTTTTTTCACATGTTCCATTCTGCAACAACTCACCCCAACCCATCATTTTAAGCATTTCTGAAAGGGAGAGAAGTGACTTGAGGGAGGTCCTGTGGTACTGAAGTCATACCTCAGGGGAATGGAAGCTCATGGCTGCAGAAGACACTCAAGGTAGGGAGAGGGATAAAGGAAGGGGTTGTGCCCCAAAAAAAACTCTTTAGAAAGAATCCAGACAGTATGGAAAGGAGTGAAGTCAAAGCACTGAAGCCAGGAGCTGTCAAGTCTGCTGCTGTAAGAAAAGGCTTGGAGAAATGCCTGTGGGCTTCCTGCAGGCACACGCTCCCACTCCTACTGCTCCCAATGTAAGGTCAGCCACCTCCTGTTCCCCAGCCTCCACATACTGCAATATACATTCAACTGTCCTCTTTGAGAGGCCCTGAATTAAACACCATTTTCTCAGGCTGCAAGTGTTAGGCATGAAAATATGTTATAAAAATAAAACTGCTACATTTCAAACTGGAGTTATGATACTCCAGGTTCTGGATTCCTCAGGAAAGGGGCCTGAAAGAATGCTGAGGTTTGGGGTTGGAACCCTTGTAAAACTTTCCACTACAGAAATGAATCTCAGATGTGGAAATGGAGTTAACAGAGGAAAAATCTGATGACTGCTGTTCCTAGACCATTTCCTGAAATTATACCCCAATGCAAAATCATAGAAATGCTGAGTCCCACATCCCACTCAAAGCAGAGTCAGGCCTGATTTCAGACCAGCTTAATTAGGGGTTTGTCAGTCTGAAAACCTTCAAAGACAGAAGCTACTCAACCTGTCTCTGCATCTTGCTCAGGCAGGGACAATGCTTGATTGTCCTCCAAGTG